AAAGGCCTCGTGCGCACCTCGTGGCCGTGCGTCACACCGGTGTTTTTCTTCCGTGCGAGGGAAGCTCTCAGCCGCGCGAGAAGAAGCGCCGGCTCCGAAGAGTGGTGGCGCGGCTCCAGAAGTGACTGACTGATGGTCACTGGGGATGGGTTACTGATGGCTCAACCAGGGATGGGTCATGAGTCAAAAACCAGATCTGCGTGGTGATCTGCGTGATTTCAGAGTAGATGGCACAGACCCCATGATATCCTTTAGATGGGGGGCCCATATAAAACGCCAACCGGGGGACGGGTCAAACCAGTTTTTTATGCATTCAACCAGATCATTTGCGTATGTGGTCGCGTGAGACATATGACTTGTGGCTTGTAACATATCAAGGTATCTGGGGATGGGTCCAGAGCTGGAGCATGTTGCCTGATCTTGTGGGGAGGTCAAGGTATTGGTTTGAGTTAGGGCGTGCCATTTGGGGAGGGTGTATTCTTTATGATTTCTATTACTATGTGTATTATTATAGGGGAGACCCCCCTGGCCCAATGGGTGGTCTATTTCCCTTCAGACCCGTATCCCCAACAACTTCGGGTCATGGCTCGATCAAGGATTGCCCAAGTAAATAGCTCCTATTTGGGGGGGGGGAACAAGACCCTAAAAGATACCGCCCAGCCATTCGAACATCTTCGGGGCGGGGTTGAATTTGTTCCAACAGCGTGATCAACTACCAGTCGCGACGGGCTGCAATTGCTTCACCAAACACTAAGGCCGATGCCCAAAGGCTAATCGACTGATGAATCCGTTTCTCCCACACAGAATCCCAGGACTTGTGGTCACTTCATTTGTGCACGTGTTGGAGCCCTCACAAGTGGCATTTACTGGTACAGTAGAGGGAGGGGATAGGTTTTTTCCAGGACTGTAAGGTTTCTCCCTCCAGGGAGCAGAACGATATCATGTGGTTTCACCATGTTTCACCCCATCGAATGTGACCTTCCGACGAAAAGGCTTCCAAAACGATGGCCTCCAACCCTAGTAGCGATGGCCTCCAACCTAGTTACTGGTGATGGCCTCCAACCTAGAAGCGATGGGTGCCCCATACATCGCCTATACCAAAAAATACATCCAGTCCACGTGCTTCAAGTTCAGGTCACCTCAGACGATGAGGCTGAGCCCCAGGCGCGTGAATCGGATGTTCGTGGTCGCAGTGGTGGTCGAAGGTCGCTCTGCCCCTACGAGCGATGGCCTCCAAGATGGCCTTAGCAACGATATCTTGTCTCGTTGTCCTCAAGGTCTTGCCAGAGATACAAGAATAGTTCTTGCTAGAGCTGCTAGTAACGAATTGAGGGGGTTGGCCACTCCATCGGGTTTCGAGGGTGTTTGCTTTGGGAAGAAAAGCGATGTGGCTTTTGCTTTGCTGTCTGACACGACAAAACACTGTCACATTGAAGTACATGAAGTACATGCGTTCTGCAAGGTGCCTCAGGGAACATCTTGTGGCAGCGGTGCACTAGGTGTGCTTGCGAGAAACCACCGTTGCAACTAACGACCGCAGAGGTGCTCCCTTCACGACTGAAGGGTTACAGAGTTCTGAGTTTCTTTCACATGCCTTTTCAAGCGAAGCCAAAGCTCTTGGATCCGGAAGCGGCTCAGGTTTGATCTCAAGACCTGCTCGGTTTTGTGTGTCCTTTTTCTGGTTGCCAGCGCGGGATCACCGATAGGAGCCTTCCAAGCCAGCGGAGGCTCCAGAGCCAGTCCCCAGAGAAGGCCCGCTCACCGGAGACGGCAGCTTGTCGGGAGTACGCTCTCCTCCTCATCTCTTCTTTCCTCGCATCTGGGATGTTTGGACATCATGGACCGGCATATTCCAGCATTCCCCGCAACGCGCCCCCTGGGACTGCGAGCAGATTGGAGGCCATTGCTATTAGGTTGGAGGCCTTTGCTTCTATTAGGTTGCTTTTGCTATTTTAGATTGCCAAGTGACATGGCCTTCATCACCAAGGCGCAGCACCTGCTTCAGCCGCGCCGCCGACGGGCGAGGCTTTGGAGGTGGGAGGGAGTTCGATGTCGACGCAGCTCCGCGTGGTCACCTTTGTGGTCCGTGGTCACAGCTGGTTCACATGTATCATGTATCAAACTAATTCAAATTAGACTATCTGACTGTATTAGATGTTTTGTTGGCGTGTGTTTGATTTGGGTAAGCTTAGCTTAGCTTTATCTGGTGGTGAGGGCACCGTCCGTGGAGATGCTGGTCCGCTGAGCTGAGCCAAAAGTTGCTGCAAGAAAGGGTGAAAGGGTATCAAACTGTCAAGAAATAGATGTTACTTGGGCTAGAAATAGTATGAGTGAGTGGTTCAGAGTGGATGCCAGGCATCGTCTTGGAGGGAATTGCGGCAGATTTGTTGAACCGAATCGACCAAGTTGAAAGAAACCTCGAAGACCGGTCTAAAGTGTCACGAAGTGACGACCCACATGAGCCCCGCGCCCCGAGTGCGAGTGCAGGGACCTCTTGAGGGCGAAGATCTCTCGGAGATCATTGAGAAGGACCGAGCATCGGGAGTTGGACGCGCTCGGACGCGGGTCTCCGAACGGGGGCGCTCCGGACGCCATCGCGAACCGAACGTAACAGTTGGAGGGACCTCAGTGGATCGATCATTGGACGACAACACCGCATCAGTCACCACGAGGAGGAAGGGGTGCACTGGAATGAGAACCGCCGTTGTAATGAGATTCTTCGAACCGCCGTCCTCCAGTTGACTGTACTCCTATCAGGCCAAGAAGAAGCTTGAGACATCTCCTGCGCCACAAGAGGCGCCACTGGTGTCACTTTTGGATGGTGGACCCCTTAGAAACTTCAGCAAGCTGAGAGGTAGAAGCTTTGGACTCAAAGGGGAGCGTGGATATGTCAGATTGCTGTCGAGAATGTTCTTCTGAAGCGGACTCCAAAATTTGGAGGGTGACTCGACTCGGGTCCTTTCTTCCCAAGGCTCTAATGACTCTAATGTAGACTCTTCATTCATAGAATGACCCCCCCATTTGGATTGTAAAACCATGTAAAACCTCTGCATATGAGTTGTTTGCTTGATCAACTTTTAGGGCGCAGTTTTGATCCTGTGATATGTCCCCTTCACCAGCATATTTGATGCGATCGTAAGATGGGCCACTGGCTCCTCTTTGTTTGCCCTCAATGTCCATGTTTGTTTTCTTGTCCATCAGTCCTTTTTTGCTTCACCAATGTTCTGTGTCTCTTTCACTGTGGTTTTGGTTTGTTTTGCTATCCTTCCCTCTGGCCTAGTCCAACTCAAGCATCTCAGCCCTTTTCATCAGCACATGAGTAGTCCCACGAAGGGCCAGCTTCAGAAGATGACAGCTTCTCCAAGAGCAAAGGAGTGTTTTGCTAAAGGAAATGGTGCTGGGATCTAATCATGTTTCCAAAGAAGCACTTCATTTGCCTGTCTCAGTCTCAGTGTTTGAACGATCCTCTTCCCCGATTGGCCACATGCCGTGCAGGTCTCAAGGCTCTTGACGCACCTGGAGTCCCAGTCGGTCAAGGGCCCAAGTCGTCGCTTCTCCGACGACGGCACGTCGCTTCGACACAAACAGATTGCAAGACGGGAACGATGTGAGTATGCGAACGAAGAAGGTTAGAAAGCAGGTGACCATAAGATCAACCAACTCCGCGCGTATTTGTCATAGGTCCATTCCTGAGGATGGGTCGCCAACCCAGATTTCGTTGGGAAAATCTCTAGGCTGCAATCAGCAGAATCTTCCACCAGCTGGTCAGTCGAGCTCGGGGCAGAATGCCAAGCCACGGCAAACCTCAAGCCAGACCAACCGATCTCACAGATCTGGAAATTCAGGATGCATAGCAGCTCAAGGTAGATACACAGCAGCTACACAGCAGCTACCAACAATGGCTACAACCCCCCCGACGTCCCATGCCAGCACGGGCCCCGCCTGCTCAGATGAACGCCCAGCTCTTGGTGACTACGAAGATCGGCTTGGCGGTGAATGGCCTCAGGACTTCCAAAAGATGGGTCTCCGGCCATCACTGCAGGGCATCAAAAAGATCAGGAGGCCATCGCTAGTAGGTTGGAGGCCATTCCTAGGTTGGAGGTCATTGCTTCTACGTCACGAAGCGGAGCGCTTGAAAGAAGAACTAACTTCCACGGGTTTGCTGCTGGCCCACTCTTGGTGTGAGGTCTCACTTATGCCTCACTTTGTCCCAGAAACATGGCGGTGCTTATAAGGCGTGCCTTTACGTGCCGTATGTAGGATTCAAAAGGACACGCCCCGCGAGGCGAGCACACTCAGATAGACCTGAAGCAGGTATGTGTGTTCCTTCTTTCCCGGAGGTGTACCCGTTTGAAGACGGAGGTGTACCAGTTCAGATGTTCGTTCGGCTTCCAACGAGTGAGTCGCGTCCTCTTCGGGTGTCGACTCGTCGCCGAGGTGTCACACTGCAGTCGGGGTGACCGCGGGGTGCGGGGAGAAACGGGGGGCCGGTCGCCAGGAAGAGCTATGCCAAGTATCCCAACGTGGCTGGGAAGGCCCAGGAGCGGACCTGCGGTTATGACATCTTTTGGGACCATCAATGGATGGATGTATGACATGAACAATGGGATGGATGCTATTTATCAAGTTGTGTCCATGTTTTTTTTGGACCCACGCACTCCGATCATTAAGTAGACGCCTACTTGTGTCCTGTTGGTTGCACTTGAGGAGCGCCTCCTCTCAGGGCTACATGACCGGTGTCAGCTCGTGCTTCGATCTTTCAACGAAGTCCTATACATATAAAAAACCACCATGAACTCGGCCCCTGCAAAAGTCAGAAATGCTCCAGAAGCCAGGCCAAAAGCCCTCTTTTTTTGCCACCGGTGACCTTCTAAAGATTCATCAAGACGTTTGGAACCATCCAGCCATCCTGTTGGAACCGTGTCCTTGAGCTCCTTCCCGGAGGAATCGGGTCTCACCTTTCCAGCTCTTTGTATTGAGGTCCAGCAGGCTGTAGGGCTTGTGAACCGTTGGAAAGAGCTTTGGATGCAAGAGAAGGCAGCGAACAGCGCCTGAGACTGGGCAAGGCATTAACAATGAATCAAATAGAAAGAACGGAAATGAAAAGAATGGAGATGAATGGAACTCTCCTCGCAGGTTGGCCCAAGGATCCTTCAACCTGGATGTATATGGTTCTTTTTTCTTTCGCGTCCACCGACAAAATTCCTGAGAGAACTGAGCGCCGCCCAGTCTCAGACTTGCCGACTTCGTCGGGGCACCACCCGAGCCGATGGCCCAGGCTGCGACCATTGACCCGAGAAAAACTCGTGGGAAGGTCGACCAATTCCCGTGGGGCGAAAAAAGGACGTTGAGAAGTTAAGCCATATATCTTATAGAGCACAAACCCTGGTGTTTTGTTTGTGCTGGTCGGTTGTGCTGGTCAGTTACTGGGCTGGGGGTTAGTTGAACCTATAAGACTTAGCTCTTCGATTTGTAAGGTACTCGTTCATTCCACCAAAAAGGTCCGAAACAGATTTCACACACTCTGACATTGGTTTTCAGTTAACTCAATGTCCAGGAAAAATGGTGATGGAACCGAAAGGTGAAAGGAAGAGTCGGCAGAACAGTATTGTTTAACAGAAGGTTTCGCGTGACTGCAGAACACTAGTTACTGAGTACTTAGCAGACCTAGGAAAGGAAAGAGTGAACCGAAAGGCGAAAAG